GTCTAGCATTTCTACTTCCAGATACAGGCACAGGGAATTGAAAACATCCCCATAACTATTTTATAAGCACTTTATTCAAAATGGGCCAAAAGTCAAACAACCCAAATGCCCATTGGCTGTTAAAAGGTTAAATCAAATGTGTATCTATGCAAAGGGACAATTTCAGTCAAAGGAAATGAAGTGCTGGTGCATGGTAAAATATAAATGAACCTTGAAAACATTACGCTAAGGGAGGATGATAATCACAAAAGACTACCTAGATAAAATCAGGAGCTAATCCATAAAGCCAGAAGATAGGTGGGTGTTTACCAATAGCCAGAAATAGAGGGACTGCCTGGCATGTAGCTCAGTGGTAGAGTGCTTGCCTTGTATGCATGAAGCCCTGGGTTCGGTTCCTCAGTTCCCCACACACAGAAAAGGCTGGAAGTAGCACTGTGGCTCAAGTGGTAGGGTGCTAGTCTTGAGCCAAAGAAGCGCAGGGACAGTACCCAGGCTCTGAGTTCAAGCCCCAGGACTGGTGTGAGTGAAAAAATAGGGAGGGACTGTATAGGGGTACATGCTGCTTTTGGGAGGTGGTAAAATGGTTTAAATTTGTGGTGACAGTTGGTTGCACAACTTGGTGGAATATTGAAAAACACTGAGGTTAAACCCCCAAATATATCTTTTTTTTTTTTTTTGTCGATTGTGGGGCTTGAACTCTGGGTCTGAACGCTGTCCCTCAGCTCTTCAGCTCAAGGTGAGCGCTCTACCCCTTGAGCTACAGCACCACTTCCAGTTTTCTAGTGGTTTATTGGAGATAGGAGCCTCACAGTCTTTCCTGCCCAGGCTGGCTTCGAATCATGATCCTAGATCTCAGCCTCCTAAGTAGCTAGGATTACAGGCGTGAGCCACTGGCGCCAGGCACCTAACTTTTTTAAAGTCTCTTTTTACTGATAATTGAAGTCAATAGTATAAGCACCAGAGCACTGATGAACTTTATACATAGATCACATGAGCAGGTTGCCCCCTTCTGGCTGAGACAAAATAATTGCAATAAAGGAAACTGATTGTAATTTGATCACATTCTTTTATTTTCTGACAAGCACATTAATAGATTTTAAATTCCATAAGATCTCTCTATCGCATTTCTGTGAATCTCTATTATATACACAAAAAGCTTATGAACTGTGTCTAAAGGTTTATAATGTTTATGTTTTAAAAGCATGCTGCAAAGGAGTGACACTGTCCATGAAGAAATGTACTCATTACCTGACTTATGTAACTGTAACCCCTCTGTACATCACTTTTTTTGGGGGGATGGGGTCCAGTTGTGGAGCCTGAACTCTGGGCCTGGGCGCTGTCCCTCAGCTCTTCAGCTCAAGGCTAGCGCTCTACCACTTGAGCCACAGCGCCACTTCCGGCTTTTTTCTTTTTTTTTTTTTTGCTTATGTGGTGCTGAGGAATCGAACCCAGGGCCTCATGCATGCAAGGCAAGCATTCTACCACTGAGCCACCTTCCCAGCCCTGTACATTACTTTTATAATAACAATTGTAAAACACTTAAGCATTTTGCAATATATGCAGTTTTGTGAAAATACATTCTCGCATAGAAAAAGACCTAGGAAAAATGATAGCAGAAGCTTGCTTGTTTTGTTTTGGCAATACTGGCATTTGAATTCAGGGTCTCATGCTTCTCAGGAGTTCTTTAAAGATATCAGAATCCTTGGTAACATTTAAAATAGTTCAGTAAAATTCTTTCTTTCTCTCTCTCACCTTCCCTTCCTCCTCCCTCTCCTTCTCTCTCCTTCCTGTTTTCCTCTTCCCTTACCTCTCCATTTCCTTCTCCCTCCCCCTCTCCTTCTTCCTCTCTTCCCCTCTCTCTCTTACACTATAAAGACAAAAAAAGTTTTGATAAAAGTAGGAACAATATTTCTCTGCATCATTGGTCAAAAACTAGAAATTAATCTTTACATAGTATTTATCTCATAGTGAGCTCATAATCTAGAAAATATCTATTACTTTATCCATCCAATCGACTTGATGACAATCATACCAACTCTTCTAATCTCACCTCTGCAAATTCTCTCAAACTTGAGCCAGAGAGACCTCCTCTGGAGATGTAAGAAAAGTTCAGTCTAGAATCTGAATTTTAGACTATGCTTGAACAACTCCAATAAAGAAGTCTCTTTTAAAACACTTTACTTAGCATCTTTCTTAGAATGTAGCATAGTTATGCCAGCCAACCACCAGGGGCAACACAATCAGCCACACTTTATAAAACGATGGGAATAAATTTTCACCAGAATCATCAAAAAATGGAGAGCTAATTACTTGGGTCAAATCCATCTGGCCCAATTTATCTTGCTTGAAAACAAAAGCTGTTCAAGAAAAGTTTTGTTGCAAAATTAATTTCTGCTTCAATAAAGTGTTAGTGGCAACAATTAAGACATTAACTCTTATGATGTAAATTTTTATCTTTATAGCATCTCTTTAGTATGAATATTGACTATTTTAAATATAGACCATATAAATTATAAATAACATGTACACACAGGATATACTATAACCCACAATTGCCTAATCATCCTCATTCATATTTAACCCTATTTATAGCTTCACAATAAATGATCAGGATCTAAAGATATGCTAAAATCCTGTGTTTGCAGGAACAATACAGTCATAAAGGCAGGAAATAAACATAACTATTGACAATGCTAACCTACAAAAAGTACCCTCAAAAATGTTTTGTTGCCGGGTGCCCGTGGCTCACGCCTGTAATCCTAGCTACTCAGGAGGCTGAGATCTGGGGATCATGGTTCAAAGCCAGCAAGGGCAGAAAAGTCTGTGAGACTCCTATCTCCAATAAACCACTAGAAAACCAGAAGTGGAGCTGTGGTTTAAGAGATAGAGCTCTCGCCTTGAGCTGAAGAGCGCAGGGACAGTGCCCAGGCCCAGAGTTCAAGCCCCACGGCCAACAAAAAAAATAAATAAATAAAATGTTTTGTTGAAGAAAAGTACTGAATCCTTGGGATCATGGCTATGGACTAAGCCTTCCTTAAGTAAGACTGAGTCTGGGTAGGCATAAAGGAAAAAGGCTATTTTGTAGTGGAATGTATTGTGAGCAAAGCTCAGATGAAGGATATACCTATACCACCTGCCATGAGAAAGCAGAACAGGCCAGAACAACTGAAGGTAGTAAAGAAATCAGAAGTTTTATGGAGTTGCATGGTCATTCTATGGTAGATCTTGGAAGCTATGCCAGGATAAGAAGCCAGACAGAGGGCTGGGGTTGTGGAGTAGTGGTAAAACCCTGTCTGTCATGTACGTAGGATCTATTCCTAGAACTGCATGAACACAGAGTTAAAGCAGTATGTCCCAAATGGAAGAACTGAGAATGGACAAAAAGGAAGTTGGAAAATCCTTATGTAAAAGAAAGAATAAACAATAATAAAAGAGTTTGGCCTTCCAGACATGGTGACACATTTCTATAATCCCAGCATGAGGCTGAAAGTGTCAGAAGGAACAAGAGCTCAAGACAAGCATGGGTTACATATTGTGTTTCGGGTCATCATAAGCTACAAAGCCAGACCTTGTCTCAAAACGAAACAAAACCATAATCAGAATTTACCTTTTGCCCCATAGCTAGCCAAATGTTTAGAAAAAGAGTTCACGTAAATTGAAGAGGAAATAGCTGAGTTCTGCAGGCACACACGAGTAGATGAGTACCTCGGTAGAGGCTGGTCCAATTCTTCATGGTCCTGGAAGGCTGTGTGAAGTACCTCAGCTAGTCTGCTATCCACTTTCTATTTACTCTGACTTTAATATTGTGGTATACCCATAAGTTATCATTTTCTTAACATAAGCAGAAAATACAAGTTTCAAAGACCACATAATAGACAGGTGCTATTATGGCTCATTCATGCCTGTAATCCCAGCTACTCAGGGAGCTAAGATCTGAGAATCCACCCAGAGCAGGAAAGTCTGTGAGGCTCTTATCTCTAGTTAACTAGCAGAAAACCAAAAGCATAGGTGTAACTCAAGTGGTACAGTGCTAGCTGTGAGGGGAAAAAGCTAAGGCCCTGAATTCAAATCTCAGTATTGGCATACACACACACACACACACACACACACACACACACACACACACACACACACACACACACATACACACATTCTGTCTCTGTTTCTTTCTGTTTCTCTGTCTCTCTCTTTCTCTCTCTGTCTCTCTCTTTCTCTGTCTCTGTCTCTCTGTGTCTCTCTCTGTCTCTGTCTCTCTGTCTCTCTCTGCCCCTCTCTCTCTCTCTCTCTCTCCATAATGGACAAGACCTCAGATTCAGTGGGGCAGGGTGGGGGGGTACACTTGACCTAACATGTTTTTAGTGGCAAATGCTACCTACCAAGAGGTATAAACATTCATCAACAGATTTCACTAATAAAGATGTAAGTAAAAACTGGCAAGATATCTATCTGATGTTTTAGAAAAATAAAAAATTAAGGAGTCACTGGGGTAGATGTCAACAGAAGCTAGTACAATTAAAAATGAGGATTCTGAAACAGAAAGTTATGAGTGAATAAAATTAGACCACTAATTAATAGAACTGTATATAATTCCCCAAAGCAAAACTATAAGAGCAATAAAGGGTATCAAGATAAAAACTCAAGACTATAAAATGCAGTTAGTCAGCCAATACGTTTACATGTTTCCAAAAAAAATCTATCCCAGTGGCTCTCCATATAATATGGGAACTCTACCATTTAAGCATTAATTAAAATCCACCCAGAGCCAAAAATGCTCTGATGTCCCTGGGTACATTCATAGAGAACACAGGAAACCCTAACAAAACCCTCTTATTATTTTTTAAAAAACCATTTTGAGTAGAAAGCACACCTGCTGTTCTTGTTTATAGTCTACAAAAGTAAAAAACAATCGCTAGCAGAGCCATTTGGATTCTTCCCATAATTCTCTCTCCTCCCGCTTCCCCCAGATTTTGCCAGAAGGGGCTCAGAGGGAAAGCACTTACTTCCTTTCCTCCAGGAGGGCAATTTCTTTCTTGACTTCATGGTACTCCTCTGCGATTTGGCAGTGCTGCTTGAACACCTGCATGGATTCCACGGAGTCATGACAGGGCGGTAGCGGCTTCACAAACAACAGAAAGAACGAATCAGTTTGTGTCCCTGTATCAGAATTCATGACCAACATAGCATTCTTCTTGTGTTCTTTAGGGGAAGATACTGTATTCTGCACAATCACAGCATGGTCACTCAACATGTGTGTAGCGTCTGGCTGATTCCATTTGACTGAAGATTGAGAGGTGAACTGATCACCCCTACATTCATCTTCTAGTGACATCCACGGGTATCTCAGAATGGAGTCAGAATTCTGAAACCATTACACATCAGTTACCTGTCATTTGTTGGAAGAAAAATGAGTCTGCCATTCTCCTCATAAATTTCACCCTGCCCTGGGGAAGGGCAGTAGTGGGGAAGGATTTTAGCTGCCTGCTTCAATTACCTCTTGCTTTCTAGCCCACTGGCCCAAAGTAAAATCTCATCTTGCAGAATAGAAAGAACCATGTGAGAAAGGCTCTCTTCTGAGACAAGAATCTAACCCCAAGAGATGCTGCCGCCAAGAACATAGAAACTCATATGAAAGGACAGAACTCTGTCCGAAACCGTGAGGCTGAAGAGAGAGCAGGTCTACATTTTTCCTTTTCTCAGAAGACAACATGGCAAAACTTTTATGTCTAGAATAGATTTTAAGAATTCAGTTTAAAAATGGTGATATTTATAGATGGAGAGAAGTTGCATGATTTTTTATGATCCTTTATGTTCTTTTAACAGTTGCACAAAGCACTTTCAACATGGCAATGCATGGGTGCACTGCATCTTGAGCACTGTCACCATTCTGCCATTCTTCCCCTGCCCCGTATATCCTGAGCCCGCCATGCTCCCCTCAAGTTTCCTAGCTCTGCTTTCATGGATGCACATTGAATATTATGACTGTATTCTCCCCTTGATTCTCTCTTCATTCTATCCTCCTCCCCTCCCTAAAACCTCCTATTAAAAAAAAAAAATTCAGCCAAATGGCACGTGTGTTCTCTCCTATGCGAAAACTAGATCTAAAACATAGTGGGACATGATAAATTATACAAGACTGTAGGCACTCACACACAGTGAGACGGAAGGAAGACACACTTAGGGGATGAACACAAAAACACAATGCCTCTATGCCTCTGATCATAGAAAGTAATATTTATCAAAATGAACTCCAGGACATTGAAACAAGAGGATTTTTTTGTTGATCTTTTTGTTTTCACTTCATCTTGTTTATTTATCTGTCTTTAGGAGGATAATGGGGGGAGGGGGTACAGAAATGGAGGGACAAAGGGTGAACAAATGCAGCATAGATACTATGTTGAAAATGAACTGTACAATTTGTGTGTGGGAATTGGGAGAGAGCGAGGGAAGGGGTGACACTGTCCAAAAAGAAATGCACTCTTTACCTGACTTATATAACTATAACTTCTCTGTAGATCACCTCTATAATGACAATAAAAAATACAAAAAGAATGTTTAAAATTTTAAAAATTAAATTCAGTTTAGAATTTAAGGGAGTTTAGAATTCTAATTTCTACATTAGCAATTGCAACTAAAAATCACTATTATATGAACACTAGTTAATTACCTTTTCCTTTCTTTCCTTTTTTTTTTTTTTTTTAAAAATAAGGTGTCACTAAATAGCCCAGGCTGGCATAAAACGTGATATTTCTGCCTCTGCCTCTGTGTGTTGAGACTACAGCCAGGCACCATCTTACCCAGCAAAGTTAATCATCTTTTAAATAGTTTTTCAACCACCTTTTTCAATTACTTATGGAAAAATATGTATGATCTGAGAAATATGAATTCAGTCTTAAATAGATTCATTCCACTCCTTCATTAATAGTCTGTGTGTGTAAGCTATGTATCTCACTAGGTCTTACTGTCACTGATTTTGTTTCAGCAAATTGAAAACGAATGAATTTCTTAGTATTTGTAGCTCTTATATTCTTCGAGGACACAGATTTCTGTGGGTGTCATATTTCACAATACCGCTCGGGATATAATAAAAAGTAAGTTTTACTATCTGAGTGATCAAGAACATGATATTTGCATTTATCACAGGTCATCTATGTAAAGATCTTCTAAAAGAAATCAAACTCTAAATAGCTGTGCACACATACTGAAATGCTACTAATATGTACAATGAACTTATATTAAAGATAAAATTTCAGGAGGTAAAAAATTCTAAGTAGGTTAGGACCGAATTTGCCTTTATGTGAAATATGTTATGACCTACTTTGTGTAAAAATCTAATAATCATAACATCTTCCCTACTACTCATAAGCACAGTCACAGTATAAACTCAGCTGATTGAGACCATTATCCCTGTTCATACAGAAACAACTTGAAAAGTAGTGTACAGCAGTACCACAGTATAACTCATCCCATGAGATGAAGCTGTTGCCAAAGGAATTCAGACTTCTGGCACCCATTGTCTGTGCCCGAGAAATCACCACCCATTCACCAATTTTCACCTGTTATACTGGCAAATTGCCAGGTATCACAGTCAAGGGAATGAAAGCAATGTACCCAGCCAAGCTGTTAAATCATCTGTGCCGTGCTAAAGGATTTGCCTACTGGCAGCCATAAGCTTACACATCCTAGCCTGTCCTTTAGAACACCACAGAGGCCATACTCAGTCAAAACAAGAGTTCAGTATGGGACTTGCCACCTGAGTCAGTCTGAGCCATACATATTCAGCACAGTTAGATAGCAACTGGAGAACGAAGCCATTGCCCAAAGAATCTGAAACTTGGTGTCAAGAATTCGCATGCTAAAAAGAATATAGATGAGAAACGTCATGTAAAAGGCAGAAATGTCCTTTGATGCTGTAATTTAATTTTAAAAAGTAAAAATTAACAAAAATTTTAAGGAGAATATTTTTCTCCTCCCTCTCCTTCTCACTTTTCAGTCCTTTTTTTTTTAATGCCAGTACAGGAGGTTTGAACTCAGGACCTCTCCAACTCACTTAGCTGGGCTTCTTGTTACCTTCCTTCTACCACATTATCAGATTTATCTGCCCACACTCCCTTTGAATTTGGATCCTCAGATCTCAGCCTTTCGAGTAGCTAGAATTAGAGATGTGAGAACCAGCACCTGACTCTGTCCTTATTATTAAGGGAGAGGTTTTTTTTCCGTTCATTTTTTAGCTGAATAGTCTTAGTTGAAGGGAACTTAGGCTATTATATGTAAATAATGTGATCATTCTTCTAAGGATGAATGAGAATTGACTGATAGTTTTTTTAGAAGCTTTTTAATATCTCTTATCAAGCTCTTATCAAGATGATTGTGCAACTTACACCTACATAGTATTATTTCCAAGATTTCCCACAAATAAGGAAGTAGGAGTTTTAAAAGAACAAGCCAAAAAAATATATACATTCTCAATGTTTCAGAGACTGACAACACACCAGGTATCATTTTAGGCTCTGGCTCCTACAAACTTTGTCTTTGCCTGAACTTGGCATACAACATGGTCCCAGTTCAGAGCCCCTCAATCTGCATGAGAACATGAAAGAGTAAGCAAAGAAAAGAGTTCCCATTGTACCACCCACTTTAACATTGTAAAATTATCTCATAAGTTGACAGAGACTGCAGGGTAGGGGGTGATAAGTCGTGTGTGTGTGTGTGTGTGTGTGTGTGTGTGTGTGTGTGTGTGTTGCCAGTCCTGAGACTAGAACTCAGGGCCTGGGCACTGTCCCTGAACTTCTTTTGCTCAAGATTAGCACTCTACCACTTGAGCCACAGTACCATTTCTGTCTTTTTCTGTTTATGTGGTACTGAAGAATTAAATCCAGGGCTTCAGGCATGCTAGGCAAGCACTCTACCACTGAGCAACATTCCCAGCCCTGATAAGTTGTTTTCTGGAGACTAAGTTTCAATTTAGCAAGAGTATGAAGAAGTTTTAGGGACTGAACATGATATAATTAATGTGAATACAATGTGCCTAATGTGAATATATATAAAACTTAATGTATGTATATAATATATGCAATATGACTATTCTCAACTATATATACTTAGACAATTTTAAGTTAGTAAATTTTACCTTGTATGTTTTTGGCTCTAGTAAAGAGTGTTAATGTATAAATGATTTTCTCATCAGACTTTTCTATAAAGCCAACCCAACCTCTGAGGCATTGCTACCAGGACTCCCAATCCAAGGCTTACCCCCTTGCTACCCAACCTCTCCTAAATGTTACTCTTCAAACCTTTCACCCTTTTCAAATCCCAATCTTTTCACTGCTAACCCCAGATGTTGCTGGGGAACTCAAAACTGTCCACAGGTCAGGAGGATTTGTCCTTAAAAGAAAGAGGACACCAGAAGACCCACACCTAGGAAACTTGGCAAGTAAACTTGTGTGTGAATATAGGGTTCTCATCCCAATAGGTATGCTTGAGAACAAAAATATGAAGAAATTTTGGTTTTATACTTATTATTTAAAAAAACAGTACAGAGTAATGAATTGTGTTGGATAAACATTCCAAATACTCCCATTGCTCTATAACATTCTGTGTGTGTATGTGTGTGTGTATGTGAGAGAGAGAGAGAGAGAGGGAGAGAGAGAGAGAGAGAGAGAGAGAGAGAGAGCGCACATTAGGTCCTTGCTGACTTATTGATGGTGGTTCTCTTGTACATTCCTATGACCTCACCAAATAAGAGGCCATCTGTGACCAGCATGTTCACTGAATAAAAGTTTGAGTACTCCAAGAAGTTCACTCTTTTTTTTTTCTTTTTTCTTTTGGTTAGTTGTGGGGCTTGAACTCTGGGCCTGGGCACTGTCCGTCAGATCTTCAGCTCATGGCAAGCACTTTACCACTTGAGCCACAGTGCCACTTCTGGTTTTCTGGTGGTTAATTGGAGATAAGAGTCTCATGGACTTTCCTGCCCGAGCTGGCTTTGAACCGCTATCCTCAGATCTCAGCCTCCTGAGTAGCTAGGATGACAAGTGTGAGCCACCAGCTAGTAGTTCACTCTCTATTATGGAGTTTATAGGATTAAGTAGTGTGACATTTACAACACTGCCACTTGAGACC